TGGTGATGGGGCATGCAGTGCTCTGATTTGTCAGGTATAGGTCACATGACCATTTTGGGAGTAGGGGTTCACACGAATTGAAAGCAGGGGAAGGGTGGCTCCCCATTGAAAATGAGGTGCTCTTAACAGAAGTGGGAATGGATGTTAGGCTGGGGAAAACAATATGTGTTTATCACAGAATCAGGCAGCCCAGATTTAAATCCTGACCCTAAGACTTTCTAGTTTTGTGACCTTGTTGGGTCAGTTAACTTAAGCCTGGTAAACCTAAGACTCCTCATCTGCAAGACTGGGTAATTATTACTTAAGGCTGCATACACTGAATGAAGTAATACATATAAAGGACTTAGCATAGTGCCTGGAATGTACTACTAAGACTCCTCATCTGCAAGACTGGGTAATTATTACTTAGGGCTGCATACACTGAATGAAGTAATACATATAAAGGACTTAGCATAGTGCCTGGAATGTACTTGGAATTTGCTAAGCCCTGCGTAAATATTATTAGTTTAGTAGTAAATGCTCATTCCTTCAAGAGAGATGGTAATAATGAGAAAAAAGAAAAAAAAGGCAGAGAGAAGATAGGGAGAGATGATAGCTAAGGTTACTGTTCCCAAATTGTGTATATTTTTTGCTCTAAGGCAATAACTAATTTTAAGAAAAGGATGAACCCATAATGTATAAATTAGCCCTGGTTTTAAGATTAAAAGCAGTGTCTTGAAAGGCTGCATGACTGGTTCAAGGTCACACAAGTTGCTGGCAGCACTAGGATTACAACCCAGTTTTCCCCCTCTTGCTTGTGTGTCCTTTCTCTCACTGCTTGCTGTCTCCCTTATCCCCTTTGTTATACTGTAATTAAATTCTTCATTTTAAAGAAAGTATTCCTGTCAAATAGTCACACAAAATTTGTTACTTCTCCTTGTTAGGAAGCGAAAATTTTATTTATTTATTTATAAAACAGTTTAATTGAGCAATTATTTAATATTAATTATTAACGGTTTAATTGAGCAAAGAATGGTTCATGAATTAGCAGTACTAAGAACCAGTGGATGTTCAGAGAGCTCCCAGGAAGTTAAAATTTATTTTAAAAATTTGCCATTTGGTTCTGTATGCCAGATGTACACATTTCTACTCCACATACCAAAAGCAAAAAGAGTTATCTTGAAATGTTACTAATACTAGTTATGATGTGGATTTACAATTTAAGTTGCTAATAGGAGGTCTTATTTAGTTACCAGAAGGTCTTTTATGCATGCTTCTTAGAAGAAGAAAGAATAGAAATGTGTTTTTTGGAAGAACAGGGAAAAAGGAAATTTGATAGCTGATCAAGGAAGGAAAGATCATTTGGGTTAATACCTTTAACATTTTAGCTCAAGCAAAAAAAGTAATTAAATCAGTTTAAAGTCAGGTCATTTCTCCTTTTAGGTAATAAAACTACCAACAGAGCTTTCATGAACAATAAGAATCTACTCTTAGGATTAACAAATAGCTGGGTTGCCATTTTTGTTGGAACTTGATATTGGAATTTAAAGTAGAGATTCATGAAGTATTAATATAAAGGAAGTATATTGTATGTTTCTTTATAATGTTTAAAATGGGAGTAATACCTATATGAGCACAGAATAGCCATTTTCCCTAAGATATTTAAGTATTAAGTTAGGAAAATTTCTCTGAAAATATTTCCTAATTTAACGTTTACCAGCAAAAGCATGTCACTTCCTTAGGTTCCAAAGTGTCACTCTCTCTTCTTTTTTTACACAGTATGGACCATTCCACTCACAGCTAGACCTCAGGAGCTTTCTAGGCTATCATGGGTTTTTTCTTTTCCCCTTCATCTAGTGTGTGTCTGTCCGTCTGTCTGTCTCTCTCTCGGTCAAAGTTTTCTGTAGCCTTTTATGGTCAACAGTTTTTATGAGTTGTCCCATCCTTTCTTAGCTGAGTCTTTCACCTCTCCCTCCCCATCCCGTTGCCCTCATCTCCTCGGTGTGCAGGCCTGGAAGGCAGCAGACAGCAGGCAGCCGTAGCAGTATTTGTGCCGTAAGCCTTAATGAGAGGTAGTTATTCTGTGAGCGAAATTTTGAAGGTTCTTTTTGAATATTTCTTTGTCAATGCCTTATTAACTTATTACTTTTATGGCTCTCTGATAAAATGTGAAGAGTTTTTATATCATACTACTTGTTTCCTGGAAGTCTTGATATAAGAATGCATAGAGTTTGGAATAGGATGGGAAAAGGAATATTGTTGAAGTCAATCCCATCCAAAACAAACAAAGGTATCTCTTAGTGTTAAAGCTCCTCAGATCACTTGACATTTGTTGAGGACTTCCACAGTTTTTTGAGGCATGTCTAAATTCTGTATAATTATTATTTTTTTAAGTTTAGTTTGTTTTTATAAAAGAAATGCATGTTTATTGTGGAAAACAGAAAAATAGAAATAAAGGGGGAAATTGCCTTAAAGACAACCATTGTTAAAATTTTGGTATATTTCCTTTTTGTGTGCTTTTTATTTATTTATTTTTAACTTGTGAATATAGTTTGCTTAAAACATTATAAATTACCCTTCAACAATGAAGTGATTTTTGAATAACTGAGCTACAGGAAATGTTATTAAAAGAGAAAAAATATCAGCTCTAGTGTCTTTGGACAGCTTTTATATGGGTCATCCAATTTATTACCAAAATATCTTTCTAAATGTTAAAGATAGAATTTGAAATTTTTTTTTTTCGTTTTCGTGACTGGTAAGGGGATCACAACCCTTGGCTTGATGTCGCCCGCACCACACTCAGCCAGTGAGCTCACCAGCCATCCCTATATAGGATCCGAACCCGCGGTGGGAGTGCCGCTGCACTCCCAGCGCCGCACTCTCCCGAGTGAGCCATGGGGCCGGCCCTGAAATTTCTTTTTCTTTTTTTTTTTGTCTTTTTTCGTGACCGGCAACAGATTGCAACCCTCAGTGTCACGCCCGTACCGGAGGCCGGCCCTGAAATTTCTTTTTCTTTTTTTTTTTGTCTTTTTTCGTGACCGGCAACAGATCGCAACCCTCAGTGTCACGCCCGTATTTAATTTAAAAAATTGAGATATAATTCACATTACATAAAATTCACCCTTTAAAAATATACAGTTCAGTGGTTTTTAGTATCTTCATGAAGCTGTGCAGCAGCCATTGTCACTAACTAATAATTCCAGAGCATTTTGTCCCTTCTGTCAAAACACTGGTAACCACTAATCTACTTTGTCTATGGATTTGCCTATACTGGACATTTCATGTAAATAGAATCTTAAAATGTGTGGCCTTTTATGTCTAGCTTCTTTCAATTAGCATGAGGTTTTTGAGATTTATTCCTGTTGAAGCAGTACTTCATCAGTGCTTCATTCCTTTTTTATGGATGAATAATGTTCCACCGTATGGATATACCACATTGTGTTTATCCATTCATCAGTTGATGATTATTTGGGTTGTTTCCACCTCTTGGCTATTATGAGTAATTCTGCTATGAACATTTGTATACAGATTTTTTTGTGAATGTATGTTTATTACCTAGGAGTAAAATTGCTAAGTCATATGGCAACTCTCTGTTTAACTTTTTTCCCTAATAATTTATTTAGGTGAAATTCAAATAACGTAAAATTACTTTAAAGTGAACAATTCAGTGTCATTTAGTACGTTCGCAATGTTGTGAAACCACCGATTCTATTTAATGACAAAATATTTTCATCACTCCAAAATAAAACTCTTCATTCATTAAATAGTTTTTCCCCCTCTCCTTGCCCCTGGCAAACACTAATCTGTGTTCTGACTCTATGGATGTATCTATTTTGGATATTTTATATAAATAGAATAATATAATATGCAACTTTTTGTGTCTGGCTTCTTTCACTTAGCATGTTTTAGAGGAGTGTGATGACCAATATTTCCATCTCTAATCACATTTTTAAAAATTTATTCATTTAGTACATCTCAACTGAGCATTCACTACACATAACTACTGGTATGTTCTGAGTACTTCATATCTTAATTATCCTACTTACTTTTGGGGCCATCCACAATATCCCCTCAGTTTCCCTCTATTTTCATATCATTCTGTGAGAAGTCATCAGTTTAGGCTTCTTAATTCATACTCTGAATATCTATAAATAGTACAGTTTTTCAGTTTAAAGTTATCTAAGCAAATCTGCCTGTAGTCATTTCTACTGTGATCAGTATCCTCATCAGTTAACTGTTTTTTAAAGTAAACAAAGGTGAGATAATTCAGTGTTTTAATCGGATCATAACACCTGAGTTATATTTAGCTTTAGACATAATTTCACCTAGAAGAGATTGGAATAGTTTTGTTGGTGGAGATGTTCAGGATAAATAAGTGATTTTCTAGCCTTTTAAAATTTTCAAGAGGACATGGATTTTATAGAATGTATATATATGTAGGTTTGGGGTCTGGACCTCATAACTATTAAGATCTTTCCTAGGTCTAATATTTTATTTTAATAATGTTTTACCTTGCTGGCTGGTGTAGGGATTGAACCCTGGATTGAATCCTGGACTTTGGTGTTATCAGTACCCATACTCTAATCTAGTAGACTAGATTAGACTGTGGCTGGCCTAGGTCTAATATTTTAAATCAAACTAGTGGAAAGTAGTGAGGAGCATATAGTAACCAAGTTTACAGAAATTAAACACTTTACATTTTATTAAAATCTGATATTTTTTCTCTTAACATTTTAAAATAAATTTTTGAGGTATAATTTTATCCAAAAATATTTGATTCACTGAAATTCAGAAAATGCTAAATGGAAATACTTCTGACACTTGTTATGATTTAATTATGAGGTAACTAGACTAGCATCTGGATTCTATAGATAACACTAAAATGACATTATATGGAAGGGAGCAATCAAATTATTACAAGTGAAGATGTACTAAAGATCATGCAAAGGTGGCTAAATTTCTCAGTATGTATAATTGGAATGAAATTTTCAGTTTTCTTCTTTCTTTTAATTTATTTTCAGATCCAGTTATGGGACACAGCAGGACAAGAACGATTCAGAAAGAGCATGGTACAGCACTACTACAGAAACGTACATGCTGTTGTCTTTGTGTATGACATGACCAACATGGCTAGTTTTCATAGTCTACCATCTTGGATAGAGGAATGCAAACAGCATTTGTTAGCCAATGATATACCACGGATTCTCGTTGGAAATAAATGTGACTTGAGAAGTGCCATTCAGGTACCCACAGACTTGGCACAAAAATTTGCTGACACACACAGTATGCCTTTGTTTGAAACCTCTGCTAAAAACCCCAATGATAATGACCACGTGGAAGCTATATTTATGACCTTGGCCCATAAGCTTAAGAGCCACAAACCATTAATGCTTAGTCAACCCCCCGATAATGGAATTATCCTGAAGCCTGAACCAAAGCCTGCAATGACGTGCTGGTGCTAAATAACAGAATCTGTTGTACTATCTAATTTTGACTAAAAAAGCACTTTTGAAGTATGACAGTGATAAGTCATAAGATTAAATCTCAAATATAATGGATCATCCTGACACTTTACTATTTTTTATTGTTGTGCTTATTTTGTATTTTGTACCTACTTAATCAAGTTTGTCACTGTGACAATACAAAGAAAAAGTTGGTTTTCATGTGAGATTAAAAATGAAGTAAAGATAGAGTGAATCAGAACATGTTTCCATTGAGAGCCCAACGAAGGAGGCACCAAATGAGAGCATGATGGAATTTTGAGCAGTCACTTTTCAATACCATGTTCCTGGGATTGAAAAAAAAAATATTAAGGGTTTGGTATATACCTATTGGTATGTCCTTTGAATGGGAAGTGTTCTCAATAGGGTAAAAGAATGCTATTCACCTCTTCCCGGAGCTCTTTCTTTGTTTTATTAACATATTTAATTACTGGTGTATTTTAGAGCTAAGGCTTTAGTTCTAGTGGGAGTAGAAGGCATAGAATGTTTTCTTGTTCTCATTCCATAAAGAATGATTTCTCCAATAGTTCTAGATGCTTGATATTTCTGATTAAATATCAGTCAGATCTATAAAAATTATTGTTATTTTAAAAAGAATAATTTGAATTATTTTCTTACTAAATTCTATTAAAATATGCAAAAATGAGTCATATTTTAAGACAAATGAAATGATATAATAAGGTGCTTTATGTTTTATTTTGGTAACTTAAACAGTGAAAAACTAATTGAAAGCATTTGAGGAGTTGTAACCTGGGGGAAAATAGGTAAACATGGTTCCTGGCTACCACAGGAGATCTGCTCTTAGCTTTTAGTCATTTCAAGCTGTGTGTCTGGCATAGTATCTCTTGCTCTCCCCTCGCCTCCTATGACTTTAATGACTAAATGCTGATTTAACAGATCAGCTTCTGTTTGGAATTATTTGGAATTAGAGTTATGCTCTAAGGGCATAATTCTTTTTTTTTTTTTTTTTTTTGGTCTTTTGTCTTTTTTTCCGTGTCCGGCAACGGATCGCAACCCTCAGTGTCGCCCCCGTACCGGACC